CAGCTCTATTTTTATTAGTTCTTTTGAGCTGTCTTGTAGGAATTTTGATGAATGGAAAATATATACAATATGTTTCTTCTTTTCTCACTCCATGATTTCCAGAGCGATAACCAGGTCTAGCTCCTTCTTTAGTGTCTGCCCTTGAACAAGAGGAGCTTTCCTGTTTCCTATCCTGAAGAACTGCTGAGTTTTTTTGGTCCAATACTCTTCCACCAGCCATTCCTTTCTAAAAATGGCATTATCCTGACATAATTTTTCCTCACATAAGCTCTTTTTTTGCAAAGTACCATGGCAAGTTTTATCTGTCCTTATTTTTTATTTATCAAATGTGTAATTTAATTATGATCTCCTATTGCTGTAAACATCAAAGTTTTCTTGAGCTTAAAATGGGTAAGTGTTCTGTGTGTTTTCAGGTTTGATTCATTCATAAAAATCAATGAAGTACTCCTGACTAAATCAAAAGGTCTCTCATTGACTGTAGGTTAAGTATGCCAGTAGATAGTTACTGTCTATCAGCTGATACGCAGTAACTCCTTACTTTGCAGTCACTCCTTTTGTATTTGAACTCCTGCTTTCCTGGAAGGGCTTTTTCATATTCAAACCAAGATGAAAATATCAGGAGAATCCATTTCAGACTTTACAGCAACAGCCAGTTGTATAGGGTTTTATTGTGGTTAAAGCCAAAGAGATAGTATTCAGCAAATTATTTTGTATTGGTCATTGTGCAGATGGAATTGAAAGCCTTGGTGCATAATTCTCTTCTAAGTACGTTTAGGCATAAGGAAAAAAAGCAAGATTTTAGGTGTTTTACAAAGGCATCATACATTATATGAGCTGTATGTATGCTACAAGATGTTAATAATATAAATTACAATGGGAAGTTCATGTTTGTATTTTTATCGAAGAAGAAACACTTCCATTATAGATAGAATAATTGTTGCTTATTTTGTATTATATCCCTGTGTTTTGCTAAAAAAGAAAGAAAAATGTGATGCTGCCTGACTTTTATGAAAAATTGCATGTATGTTCTGTTTGAATGTGGGAGCACATGGTCGTCGTAGCAGTGAGCTAATTGTTAATAATATGCTACTGTCATACTGTCACTAAAAAAAAAAAACAAAGATGACTACAGTTTCAATTGGATTTCAATAAAAGAGATCATTCTTTAGCTGTGTAAATATAGTATAAAAATAGCTCAAACACAAGAGTAATTTTGGAAGGCTCAGTATATTCATCTATTCCTGAAATAGCTTAGTTTGCTGAATTCTGCTCAAGTTTTTTCTCAGTAAGTAATCTCTTGTTGTGATGGCAAGTAAAGCATCATCTGTACCTCTTTTATCACTAATATTAGAGGAAGGGTGTAGGTTTGTTCTGTGATGAGCATGTTGTCATTGCAATTTTTAAAGTCTTAACTCATGGCTGTTTCCTAGCAATTTATTTCGAAAAAAGCAACAACAAAAAACCACCCCGTTGTCATAGGGGCTGACATGTCAGATGTAGACTGGCTGTTTAATCATTCCACTGCCTTTACTCCAGTGCATTTCTAATGCAATCCTAGTTCCCTTTTTTACAAAAGCAAGCTTTATCTTACATCTAATTTTCTGGAAAGAAAATTTATTTCTGTTTGTATCGGTTATAAAATGAAGTTGAACACTGGGGAAAATGTGTGTAAATAAAGAAAAATGAATGTATGCCAGCTGCTCCCTTTCGTTTCTGATCAAATTTATAGAATTGATGTTTTTTTCTCTTTCTGATGAAAGCATGTTAATGTCTTGACCACGAATCCTCTTCCTCTCTAAGAGGTCTGAGCATTCTGCAAATGCTTGAAGCACTTCAGACTTACGCACTGATCTCTGAAGATGCAAGCTGCTCTCACTGAGCTAGATAAGGACAGACGCATCTTTGTTTTAAGGGAATTTTGATTGTATTAAGACCTGATCTCAGCTTCTTCTCCATATCTTCAGTTACATCTGTAACCGAAATGACTCCTTTCCTTTCTGGGAAGAAGTTGGAACATATCCTATTTTAAGGCTACGTTTCAACATACCATATAGACAATAATAGAAGATAGTGTGGCACAGATACTCTTCCTGCATATTGGGCTTCATTTTTCCTTAGTTCTTTCCTTGTTTATGCTCTGAATATGGCAGAGTCAACATTATTTGAGAGTGATCTCACATTCTTTGGGGGGGTGGCACAAGCTTTTAAGGAGTCTGTTCTGTTCTTGTGTTAATCCAATTCCCGAGCTCACCTGCTGCATGTCTGCTGCAGCATCTTTATAAACTGAAGTCAGAGAATGAGTTCAGGTACTGTTGCACAGTTATCTTCGCTGTGTAATTTCTGGCATGATCCAGGGCATGGTTTTATCCAATGCTGATGAGCGCTCCATGAGACACAGCCCAGACATGGATGAGGCAGCATGAGGGAATGCTACAAGAGATGTGGATGAGACTGCCAGGACTGAGTGGGAAGGGTTAGCTGGACGGACACACGTATCCCACACCCCTCTCTATGCCAGGGAGTGGTCCTGGCATGTTTTATTCATGACTGTACACATGGCCAGACAGTTCATTCCACAGCATCAGAAGCAGATTAGAAGTTTCCTGAAGAAGAGTTCATTTGAGTGGAAATATTTATTTCACTTATTGCTCCAGTCCCCTTAGGAGCTGCTCTGACCACAGGAGATCTGGCCAAAACTGTTGTCCATGCTCCCTACTAGACTCAATAACCAGCAATTCCTCAGCGTCACAACTGGAAATCATTACAACTCATGCAAGCAGTAGCTTGTTAACGTGTCATCTACTCTTGCGGTGTTAAGGAAAGTACTGCCTCTGATAACTACTTGTCTGAAAACCCTTTGTGTCCAGAACAACGTTTGTAGAGTTATCTCATTTAGATTAGAAGGCTCATGGTGAGCAGAAAACCCTCACTTCTTACTAGATACAGGACTAAATTTGCCATCTTTATGATAAAAAATTTAGTGTGACCGGTACAAAATGTTTCATTTAAATGGATCCCATGAGTGTGATATATATGGGTGTATGTGTGTGTGTCTGGAATGCAAGCATTTATTTCACGAAGACTTACGATTGTATTAGGTTTTTAAATTAGTTACAGTACTGTCAGAAGCAGACATAGACTTTGTAATAAGATTTGTGTGAGAGTGGAACTAGTTTAAAAATAGAGGGGTCTGTCTCAAAATCAAGCTAAGTGGAGAATTTCTTATGAGCTTTTCTTGCAGAAGGCTGGGGCTTCCCAGCTGATATTTGTTAGCTCCCAAGCCACCATTCCTCATTCATTTACTTGGCTCGCTGCATCCCAGTGCACATGGTTGGGCTTCCTCCAGAGCAGGTGTTGAGCTTGGACTTCACAGTTCAAGTGTGATCAAGTCAGCTGTCTTAGGGCCCCACAGGGGTCAGGAAAACTCTACGTATTCTGCTAAAACTTAAAGTTGTTTGAGTTTTAGCATGTTATGAGTTGAACTGTTTATAGTTCGAAAGAACTGGGCACAAGGGAGTGTGAGACCATCTTAGTGCTTGTTTTTTTCTTTACAACCTGCAGCATTGAGCTTATTGTCTCTGTTACGGAATAAAGATTTATGGAGGGCTCAAAAGCTTTTTATATGTCTTTGGACTCAAAACCTAATTCCTAGTCATGCACTCACCGCTTTTCATTTGTACAACCTGGAGATACTGTCTGTCCCCTTCCGCAAAGCACTTTGTCGCCGGTTTGCAAACAGGGAAGAGGCGATGTGGAGAAATCAGGGAAAATACATTTCAGCCCTCCACAGTCGCAAAGCAGCGTGCCTGGACCAGCCAAGAGGCTGCCAAAAGGCAGATTTGCTCCTGCATGTTTTCCTGCCTGGCAGCAGCACGTCGTATCTCACGCACCCCCAGGCAGGGGTGAGCTGCTGGCCGCTGCACCCCCTCTCAGGAGGCTGTTGTGGAGCCACCTGCAGCCTCAGTGTTGTCCCTCAGTACAACCATGTTTTGCTCTACAGAAATAGATGGAATTTAACATGTAGAGAACAGAAAAGAAAGCAGTTTTCCTCAAATCAGGAAATAATTTGCTGTCTTTTTAGTACATCTTCTGCAACATTGAAAGCTGTACTAACACATTTCAGAGCAAAATATTACAAAACCAGCATGCTCCCATACATGGTTAGTGGGCAGGATTTTGCTGCATTTTTCTCATTTTATGAAATCTTAAAAAACAAACAAACAAAAAAAAAAAGAACACAAAACCTTTATTTTATCTCCCATTTAATAGGCATAGTTCTCTTTCTTTATATGAAGCTTCCAGGTTTTGTAGCGTTTTACTAGGTTTCTTGCTGCAGTTTTTGAAACATAAGTTAAATTGAGATTAATTAATACATTTATGAAAGGGGAAAAAGAGAGAAGTCAGTACAGACATAGTGGTAACAGAGTGGTAGAAGGACCTAGAGCACAGATACAGACCAAAGTGACCTTTTTTTCCAGCTTGTTTGGCTGGTCTGAACATAAAGGGAAATTTTAGCTCCTGAGAGTGTGCAGACTATAGGACTGTTTACAGTGGACTTTTATATGTCAAATGTGTATACTTTGGTAGCAACCTATAATTTTGGAATTTACAGTACTCCTACCATCAATCATCAGGCAAATTCATTACTATTTTTTAGTTAGTCCAGATGATTGCCATTAACGTTTTTTTCTAAAGATCATTTTAGTTTTAAAATCAGCAGCCATTTGTAACTAAGCATGACTTTCCCTCTTTCTTTTACAAATAAAAGCCTGTGAACATTCTGTACAGGTTGTGGATTTTGAGGCAGCTTTGCTGACTTTAAGGTGCCTTTACTTCTTTTATGGGAATCCAGTTTTCTGGGTATCTTTAGTCTGCAAAAAGCTAAGGCAGGTTTGAGGTTGGCGTGTTTTTTTGTGTTTTTTTTTTGGAATGTTAGAGATTTCTTAAATAAAGAACAGTCATCTGAATATAAATCTTACTTTGGTGCTTTTTCCCTTTAGGTTTTATGGCAGGCATACAGAGGAACCCCCAAATGTCACAGTATGGACCTCAACAAACTGGACCTTCCATGTCACCACACCCCTCACCTGGTGGCCAAGTGCATCCTGGAATTGGTAGCTTTCAGCAGAGTAATTCAAGTGGTACTTATGGGCCTCAGATGAGCCAGTATGGACCACAAGGTAAAATTCTTGTTAATACATACATCTATGTATATACACACCCACATATATATATATATATGTAAATTTAAAAAAATATATGTATTACATATGTAAATAGGCAAATATACAGGTGTGTGACTGCTTGAAATAAAAAAGACATAAAAAAAACACACACGAACACTCCCATGTCCTCCTCTTAAAAAAAAAAAGTCACAGGTGAAACTAATTCAGAGGTGGAGCTACACCTTGTGGAAGAGGTTGCTTTTATTATTGGCACTTTTGTGTAAAAATAGTGATCATAAATTGGACAAGGAAATTACAAATCTGTTGGATTGCCATTTGTTCAGGAGGCCGAGGATGTCATATCTGCAATGAGGATGAGTTTGGCCAAGCATGGAAGAAGGGTCACAGCACTGATCTCAAAATAGGACTTACATTCTTAGATGGAATCCCAAAGCCAGTGTGAGATTGCATAGCGACTGCGAGGGTTAAAGTCTCCTAACGAGCATAGTAATACAGTGGCTACTATGGGAATATAATATCGAGCACTCATGCATACGGTTTGTGAATTTTAACCAACCTTTCAGACTGAGAAAGACAGTCCCTTTTATTATGCTGTTTGACAGAATTGTTGGAGAACTAAGACAAAAATAGAAGTAACAGTCCCTGCCCCTGGACATTCAATGCTTACAACCTTGAACTTGTCTATTGTTTTGTCTTTAATGGATAAGCTTTATAAAGCATGCATGTGTTTAGGGGTTTAATGAACTTAGAGTCAGAGTATATGAGGGACAGTGTTTCTTTAAACATACATCAATAAGCTCTTCTATTTCAGCACTTCCTACTAATGCTTTCTTACTTAAAATCCTCAAAAAGGATTGGAGCCAGCTGTGGGAAATTCTGTAAGGGCTCATTGGCTTGCACACGCTAACAAGGATGGTTATTTTAGTCTCCAGGGTTTCTGAGAACTAGTTCTGTTGTTTGTTTGAAGGGAGTCTTGCTGCCCTATGCAGTGTTCCTTTCTTTTTCATCTCTGGGTCACATTTGTTTTAGTTGTCTGAGCACAGGGCTAGAAGCCAAGATCTCCTGCTTAGTAATTTTGGCTCTGCCTTTTACTCCATCTTTCAGCTTAGGCAAGTAGATTCGTTTCTCTGCTTTGCTTTCTTTAACTGTAAGATGGAGCTAGTAATGCCTTATAGCCATGTGTGAAGATTAATTACCTAACTCCAGTTGACTGGCGCTTTCCTTTTATTTGAAAAGCATTTTGTGGCCATAAAATGCTGTCCAAGTACTTATTTTTATCTGCACAGAGAGCAACTAGCTTAACTGGTAAAAATCCAGTGGATTTATGATGTGCTATTCTGACTTCCAGCTGTACTGCTGAGATTCCAAACCATGGGAATAGTGGGTGTCAAGTGCAGTAAAACATTAGCCATCCACGCTGATTGAGTGGAGAAGTTTTTGTACTAAATCAATGCATTTAAGTAACACACCGAATACTACTTTATTTTTTGTTTTAGTTCAGCAGTTCTTTCCCTCTCACTGTAGATGAAAGTGCCTATGTAATGATTTTATGGGTCGCGGTCAGGAAGAAACTGCTATTAAAAAGTGAACTTGAGGGGCAGGAAGAAAATGAGCATCATTGTCATTAAGAGGCCATTTCAGAGGGGTCTGCTGAATAGTGTGATGGATGAAAAGCATGTTCTTCTGCCAGCTCTCAGACAGTACTGTTGATCCCATGCACTGGTCATGATAAAATTAGCGCCCTGCAGTATTTAAGCACCACAGGTAACAAATAGAGCAGAAGGATACTGCTTTTTCACTGGGCTAATGTGACCATTAATAATATACTGGGATGAATATGGTGATATTTCAAAGTCATGTATTTACTTGGATTTAAGATTTTAATAGCGTTTTTCATTTTTTATGAAAGTAATCTGTAATTGCATCTCTTAACATACCGTCTTACAAAGCACAATTACATGCCAGCAATGATGAATATATAATAATGTTACTCCATTTGCTTTTTATTGCCGAAATAACAAATATATTAAAAATCACCTGGGATGCAAACTAGTTCTTACATTATTAAACTACAGTAATTGTCAAGGATTCGTTTGCGTTCCTCATTTTGTTCATATAAGCTTTCCTCTAGAATATTGCTAAGCAGAGGCTACAGTGGACAGGACCACTTGCATTTTTATATTTGTTGAATTATTCTGTGACGCTAAGCTTGCATGATGAGTTTAAACATAACCTAAATATTCTGTTTCACTGCATGCTCAATGTAAGCCTGTAAGCCTTTGCTCAATGCTGGTGGTGTCTTTCTCTGCAATAGAACTGCTCACTGTTGTAAAGATTACACCAGTAAGTTTGGGCTGGAAGAATTAGCCTGCAGTTTTCAGGAGCAGAATGATCCATCAAATGCATATAGTTGATCTGTATTTCACGTGTTTACTTGACGCTTACAGATCTGTAAGAGTAAAATGTATTTGTCCAGGAAACAATTCCGTACTGGGGACCTGGGGCAGTGCTGTGAAAGCATTTCCCAGAAAAATAAAAAATGATGTTGGCTGCTTATTTCTGTATGTCTCTGATATAAACCAGGAGCATACAGTACAGAACGTTAATTTTAGTTTTTTGTTAACCCCTGGCATTTTCCTGTCCGTAAGAATAAAGAGACACAGAGTGAGCTTGGAAGTTGTTTTTGAAGCAGTCTTTCTGTTTGGTATTTGGGAAACATCTAGCTGGTGAGCTAACAAAGAAACTCTGGTCTGTGACCCCAAGCATCGAACTGCAGAATGGCCCTTAAGCGCTCTCTCAGGAGAGCAGTCAAACACTGCAGTCAGTTGGATCTTTTAAGACTGATGCAGAAAAAAACTCACTGCAAATCAATAAAGGGTGTCAGAAACACATCCTAACTCCCTAACTTTTCCTACTGAATTCAGCAGTAACACTTCTGTTTGAGTATAACAGAGAGATGAACTGTTACAGAATACATTTGAGCCTCAACCCCAAAACTTCACAGAAAATTAAACCCCCTCATGTTTGCAGTAGAGATGAGTATCTGTGCTTTATAACCCTTAATGTTGGAATTAAAGTTGTTTCACAGAAGCACTTTGGTATCTTGCTCCCCTGATTTCAGGAGCCTAGGTTTTAAATGGTAGCACCTTACTGATGAGCTCCCCTAAGTGTCCTGAGAGTCTGGGCCTCAGAGTCCAGTCCCACCTGTGCTATGGTATGTGGGGTGAAAACGTGAAGACTTAAATATTAACCACGCCTATTGAGTGAGTTTCAGAGGAATTCAATACAACGTATTTAAATTGCCTGTATCCCTAGGGAGTGGAGGGGGAATTACTTAACAGTTAAGTGAACATGTAAACAATTTTGAAATGTCTTTGAGATACTATTTTTAATACCACAAATCTGACCTATGTCCCTAAAGCAGAGAGTAAAACTAGCAGGCAGCTCTCACATTTCCTTCTTTTTGGCTTGCCTAGAAATGGCAAGGCATCAGAGCACTTGTTCAGAAAACCTGGACAAAGTGGATTGAAGTTCAGCAGTAAGCATGAACATCTGTCTTTGGCAGGTTGTTAGTAGGCTTTTTTATATTATATCCTTGCTACAGTTCTTTTTTTTTTCCTGATTCCAGTTACCACATTGTTATTTTTCTGGTGAATTTGAGACGCTGTGTCTGTGGGCACAATTCTGCTCCGGCTGGGGGGAGCTGGAATCAAAAATCCCTTGGATACGGAGGGGAGGAGCTGTTAGACGGTATTGTGCAGCCACTGCTGCCAGGCCTGTACCCACTTGAAAAGTGTGGGCTCTTGGACTTGGCTGGCTGACACGTCCAGCTGATGTGGGCTGGCCTAGCATCTGCTGCATTCATTGTGTTTAATGCTGCATCCATCTGTTTTCTGTCAAAGCCAGTGCCAACAAATTACTAATCTATTAGAGAAACACGGAAATAAGATTGCACTCCTCATTCCTGGCAATTCCTCTTGTATTTCACTTGGCTTTTGTTTTGCCTTTTTTTGTGATCTAGGAAAGGTATATGAATAGCTAGTACTTGAGGTATATTGAGGAAACGCTTAGGAAAAAAGTACGTGGATACGAGGACACATGGAAAAACATTGGAACTTGTTTTCCATACTGAGAAAATAGCACTTCCCTGTGCTCTTAGACATGTATCCCTGGAGATGAATGATTAGGAGCTATTTTAACTCAGCCACATATTTCTGTGGAGAAGATTCCACTGCTTTTTTTTTCTGTGTTGTGCTTACACTGGAGAAGCCAAACATGAAAGAAGAGATTTTTTTGTCCCAATTCAAAATAGCATCAAAACAGCAATAGTATTTAGCATTGGTGTTTGCTCCTCCAAGTGTGCTGCTGAACTGTACTTTGTAGAGGCAAACTGACAAAACAAATTGGCTTAATGTAAATCGGACTGACAGTAGCTCCCAGTGATTATGGATATCAGCTCTGCTAGTGCAGGGAGTGAATTTGCTTCACTTTGGAAGCAGTGTTTCTACTAGCGTGTACATAAACGGGCTAACAGTCCTTGAGCCCACATACACTCCATCTTACTGTATTGCCCTTTTCTTGCAGATAGAACAGGGAAACGAGCAACATCTGAGTTCTGTGTTGAACACTGGTTGAATGCAGGTCGAACACTGAGCAGAACAATATGAAACCAATGAGCCCTTCAGTTTGTGGGCACAGCTGTTGGGTTGGAGGTGTGGCTAGAGTAGGTCTCAGCAGACAAAACCGGCTGCAAGCAGTGGCTCGCTGAATGGAAAATGGTCAGTAAGCAGCAGCCTCTGAGCCTGGAGGAGGAGGAGAAGAAATGACAGGGCGGTCTGACGGCAGCAAACAGCTGAGTCTGAAGCCTTTCATCTCTGCTAAACCACATATCGGGGATCCTTCTGTGAAAAAGCCGCACACACAATTTGGGTTTCTAAAACAGAAATGAAGCATTGTTCCATTTCCTTGGAAAGCATAGGTCACACATGTTTTTGCTGAAGAGAACTTGTACCAGAGTGAGTCAGTTGCTGGGTGGGGAGGAGGGGAGAATTCGCCAAAGCACAGCAGCAGGAGCGTATGAATTAATTATGCGTGTGTTCAAATGCCAAATGCATATATTTACTTTAAATATAAACAGGAGTTGCATGCCAGCAACTCCTCTGCCTGGTAGCTCAGGCCTGAGGAGAGAGGAGGCTGATTTCCACACTCAGGAAGTCTGTTGCCTGCTGCCTTCACATGAGCGTGGGAATAGCTGGGAGCACTCAGGAAACTGCTCAGCGGCATCCCGCAGGGGGGGAATGGGTCGTGTTTCCACTAAGCTGGATGAGATGGAAATAAAGACAAGCCAGAACGGATGACTGAAGCAGTGTAATACAATCCATTTCTTAAAATACTTTTCTGTCATATCTTTGCTTTTTTTTTTCCTTTCTCATGCTGTTTGAGTTTGTTTCTAAAACAGAATACCAAACACTGGCTTTTTCTTAGCTTTCAATATGATAAGAAAGTCAGTACTCACATTATTTAAGCTGCTGCTGTGAGTGGTGCAGTTTGTTCCTGTCACAACAGAGATTGGGCTCAGGCAGGTTTTCAAGCCATCCTCTATAGTGAAGCACCTGTTTATATTATCAGCTTTGGGGTATTGATGATTACTTTTTTAACATCAGCTTTCCCACAAGAGGTGCGCAGTGAGCTAACCCACCTCCTGCTGGCAGAGCCAGGCTTTGCACTTAACGGGGAAGGGAGGGAGAGGCACTATTCCTAGGGGCCTGGCAAGTGGTCAATCTGAAGCGTCTCTGGCAGAAATGGAGAGAATGACTAGGTGCAAGGATCCAGTGAGTATAACCCATTGCAGAAATGGCAGGAAGATGAAGAATGAGAACATGAAATTACAAAAATAAGGTTCTCTCTTGAGCTTTTGTAATGGATTCTTACAAGCCACACATCTCTGCTGCACAAAGCATTTTTTACTGTGTGCTGTGTTGTTAAACCTCTGGAGGCTGTGGTTTTCTGTATTTGCTGTTATCCCATGACATTATTAGGCAGAAAATGCTTCAGGGTACGTGAAAGTCAGGTCATGGGATAATTCAGATTGAAAGGGTGCTCAGATTTTCTAGGCCAACCTTTTATTTAAATTAGGGTCAGGCATAAGACCAGAGCAGGTTACTCAGGCTTTATCCTGCTCTTGAAAACCATCAAGGAGGAAGTCTGAACAACCTCTTTGGGTTGCCTCTTCCATTGTGTGCTTGTCCTCACAGTGAAAAAGCTGTACTGTATGGTTCACTTCAATTCATGTGTGTAACTTTTACAGCTACTAACTCCCTAAACAGAAATAGTTGCTCAAAAATTTAATGCTGTTCTCTGTACTTTTTATCATTTTGTTCAGGAAACTACTCCAGACCACCAACATACAGTGGTGTGCCCAACACAAGCTACAGTGGCCCTGGACCCGGCATGGGTATAAATGCCAACAGCCAGATGCATGGACAGGGGCCAAGCCAGCCCTGTGGTACCATGCCCCTCGGACGGATGCCATCAACTGGGATGCAGAGCAGACCATTTCCTGGAAACATGAGCAGTATGACCCCCAACTCTCCTGGCATGTCTCAGCAGGGAGGCCCCGGGATGGGCCCACCCATGCCAACTGTGAACCGTAAGGCACAGGAGGCGGCTGCTGCAGTGATGCAGGCTGCTGCAAACTCCGCTCAGAGCAGGTATGCAACCAGGTGAAAGGAGCTGAAATGAATGGCAACATTTTTCTCACCATTTCTGAAGTTACTGCTGTAGAAGGGCATGCATATGCATTTAAAGATGTTTTGTCTGTGCCCATCTCTAGGAGAAGTAGGTGTATGGGAGGAATACTTTTCTTTAAATGCAAGGGGAAAGCATACTATTGTGCAGTTGAATTTGTCAAAAAACAGCTGTGACAATGAAGATGACAACTACTTTCATGTTGATTCTTGGCACAGTAGACTTAAAGAAAACCCACAAGGTTGTGGTGACATTAGGAGCTGAAAACAAGTTGTATACAACCTGAAACCGATGAGCTGTGTATTTGTGTTTGATCTATGGCAGGAAGAGGTCAGCATGTCCTCTGTAGTTATCTGGATTTGGTCACTGCCACTTATGCATCCATAAAAGAGAACCTGTACTTTTAGACTTACAGAGAGGGGAGCCACTGTCTGGCTTCTTGTCTCCCCTTCTCACAGCATAAGCTCCGTGTTGCCACTTGTGCGTGGATTTTGGCAATGGCATTTTTCTGTTCATGGCTATTCTTAAGATGACTGAATACTGAATACTTGTGAGATCATATTTCCTGGGAAATTTTTCAGATGAAGTAATTTCCGCATTTCACTGGAATTAAATAATTCCTGGTGTATTTATTATCTTTTTTTTTTTTTTCTTTTTCTTTTTCTTTTTTTCCTGTTGAGAGAAGTTCGATTACATTTGAGATTACACAGAGCTGGTTCCATTGTTCTGGTAAACAAGTCCATGTGTGTATACTGAGCATCTTGCATTTATTTATGTGTACACATGCACTTATATGGATACAGGTATAGGGAGCCTACAGGAAAGCTGGGGAGGGACTTTTTATAAGGTTCTTTATAATTTTGGAAGTAGCAACAGGATGAAGGGAAATGGTTTTAAAATAATAGAGGCAGATTTAGACTAGATATTTGGAAGAAATTATTTACTGTGAGGGTGGTAAGACACTGGAACAGGTTGCCCAGAGAGGTTGTGGGTTCCCCCTGCCTGGAAGCATTCAAGGTCAGGCTAGATGGGGCTTTGAGCAACCTGGTCTGGTTGCCAAATAGCAGGGGGTTGGAACTAGATGATCTTAAAGGTCCCTTCCGACTCAAAGTATTCTATGTGATTTATCAATCAAGGCCATTGTTCCTGGACACAAGAGTTTATGAGATTCCAGGACACAGTATAGAAATAAAAATAGGAAGTGAATGCATCCCTCTCTCTGTTGCTTTCTTGTTTATAAGTTTGGAAGGCAGGTGGCTTCCACTGATAAGCAATAGGAAACTTCTGAAGCGCTAACAGTAAATTTAGCATGCCTCGTATTCTTCTTCAGTAAGCATCACACTCCCTTAAAACCGACACTGTGCCTGTAGATACCTGTGAAGCAAAAGTTATCTCTAGTTTGTTGGCTTTCAGTGAATCTGTCTAGTCGAGTTTACAGAACTCTGTTTCTGGACTGCCTGTTAGGCTGCAAACTGATAGGTCAGGCTGGAAGGAATAAATGGGCCATTGCTTTAGCTGCAGGTTTAGATGTGTAATCACATAATGAGGAAAAGGACACATCTTTACAAGACTTGGTTTGTTCTTGGTGTAAGGTGTTCAGTTGTGATTCAGCTTACACTGAGCATAGTGTGTGTTGTTTGATCAAAAACTAAATTAAGAGATCACCACACCTATCTCACATCTTCATTTCAAGTCAGTTTTGTAAAGATACTTTTGGATTCTAGCTTTGTGTGGGCAAAAGTGCACCATTTCAGAGCCATGTCATCACATAATGCCCGTTCCAGTGATCTAGCACTTGTTAATGGACTGCAGTCATCAAATATCTATTGCAAATACTGGCAAAAGGGTTATTAGTAAACTGCAAATTTCGTGAAGCCCCTCTAATGCCACAAGTACACTGTTTTCCCCTTGATCTCTAGTCAAATGCAGGGGAGAAAGCAATAAAGGCTTTCAGCTGTTCCTGCAAGTCCTCCTTCCATTGTTTATGGAAGGAATGTACTTGACAGCAGTTCGTATTTCTGATACAGAGCAAATCTGAAGAGGATGTTTTTTGTTCTGCTTTAGGCCACCATACATTAAGTTCCTGGCTTACCCCAGCCAGTCTGGGGCTGGCAGATGCCCCATGTTTTTTTCACAGCATGCCAACATTGGCTATGCTCAAATTCCCTTGAGGCACCAGCCTGACCAGTACAGGCTCATGTTTACAGGTCATGTAAACTGGACTTGCTTCGTGACCCTGGCAATGTTTTTAGTATTTATGAGCATGCAGTCTGTCAGCTGAAGAAAGATAAAAATCGTGTGATTCACAGATACTTGCGTTATAGAAGGGATTTTCATTTTTCGTTTTCTTTTTACTAAATTCACTTATTCACATGTTGTATGTAGTTTTCAGCATTTGTCTTTATTTCTTGCCTGAGAAGGAAATGAAGAAGCTTGTCACTGAGAAAGAATGGGGTGTCCTTCTCTCCTCATCCCCCCCTCCATCCAACATCTCTCTCCCCTTGTTGTTGATGTTTTCTCCTCACAGCTGTACTGCACGATGTCATTCTTCTGACTTCTTCCTGCTGTTGTCACTGGGGCCTCAGTGATCCACTCCCCCAAAGTGTGATGCCTTTCTGACTGGTGATTTACTGCCGAAGTGATTACGGGATTTCTTAATGGGATTTTCAGAGAAGTTTTATTATGCTGTAATTGAGCATACTTGTGTTTGAAATATTTGTTAGTCACTAGAAGGATTTTAAGAAGCACCAAGTATTCAGTCCAAAAAATTCCCTGAAACATAGCTACTTTTTTGTTCAGCAGTGTCCTTCCCACTGTTGTATCTGTAGCAGTATTATGAGTTAAATGACTAGGAAAATATAACTGTAGTGGCCTATTGCTTGCTTATGACCTAGTCTAGGTTCAACTGAGATTTGGTTTTCATGGACTTGACCGTCATCATGTTACTTCAGTTACTGCTTCCCTAGGAAATGTCTAATATCCAACCTACTGCTGCCTTCATAGTTATCAACAAGTTTTAATCACCAGTGTTTTATAGCTGCTTTTGTTTGTGTCACATTTTTTTCATTAATAACATTATTCAGGTATGTGTACATGATAAAGTGAAAAGCAAAACAAAAAATTAGAACAGAAGTCTACTGGCTCTTTGGTTTAAAAAGCAAAAGTCAGTGAAATGGGAGAAGACTTACACCATACTATTTTCTCTTAATGGAAAGATGTCTTCTTTTATATGCCAAAACACATTAATAGCATCCGACCTTTTTATTCCTAAGTTGATAAGTTGATAAGATTCAGCTTTGAAGTTCACAAACTGTTGGGGTGTTACTACCATAAAACACACCCCTCTGTGTACACTTGAAGGGAAGACGAAATGGTTGTGTTTGAGTCATGGTTACACAGCAGTATTTCTGTACAAGATGGTTGTGATCCCCTTCAGGGTCAAGTTGTTGAATCAGTAGCCAAGTATCAATAAAGGAAAGTAGTTTATCTTCAGCTGCTCATCCACAAATCTATCCTTTACCAGCACAGGATTCTCATGTAGACACAGAAAGCTGTTTTGCCTCTGCATTGCCAAGCCACATTAAGTAGCTGTGTAGAATGAATTTAAATGGCATGCATCAGAACGAAATCGCTTTCACTGGGGCTGAAAATCACTGTCATTTAACCAGGGCTAAATGATCAAAATGTGTGTCAACTGGTTATACCTAGGGTATCATTCTCTGCAGGCTGCCACCAATTAAATTAGGAAAGATAAAAACATGAAAATAGAAGCAGTGGCTGTGGAAGATAGTAGGTTTACACCATCTGAGTTAGCCTTTGACCTCATCAGGAGATCAGTTCTACGTTAAGCTTGGATTACTTCCTACAGCTACAGAATACTTTTCCTGTAACCTAAAATCTTACAATGTACTAATATACACAGGGCAGCATTTCCAAATGAGATTTCACTTAACAGGCTAAAAGAATGAGAAGTCTTTCAGAAATCTCTTTGTTGAACCAGTAGTATCTGTGGCATCACAAAGATGTATGCTTAGTCTGGCTAACATTTTATATTAGGAAAGCAAAATAACTAATACACTGTGTTTAAATTCTCATTTACAAGAAGGCAGTCTAGAAGAGCTGCAGGATAGTGTTTTTCTTATTGTATCTGTCTTAGTCACAATACATCCGTTTACTGATAAGGACTGTATCCACTGAACTTGGAGGAGTGACTTTTGTTAGCTTATGTGAGCACTGCCCAGGGTACCAGGGCTGGTTCTGCTGGTGGACGTTACAGCTCAGTGGAGATCTCTGAAGTCTAGATGGTATCAAAATACCGTCTGTTAGCACATTATAGTTCTTACAACAATAGATGTATTTATAGTGATAGATAAGTATTTTTGTATGTACAGATCTGCAACACAGCGGGTCTTCTGTAAAAGTAAGCAATTTTAAGCAAACAAGATAGCATTTTCTCTGCTAATGGGGATGTGAAAGGCAACAAAATTAGTCTATATCTTCACAAAATTCTAGTCAGTTTTGAGTTCCTCAGTATGTCCATCTTGAAACTTTTGGGGACTTTGTGTTCACTGTCTGCAAGCTTTTGCTTTTACTACAACAGTGCAGACCTCAGAGAATGATTAGGTTGACACTTGAAGTCAATAGACGTTTTTGGAGCTGTATGCTTGTCACTATCATTTTCACTATCTCTCACCAGCAAGGAGTTCATTCAGAGCATGTTTTCTAAGCAGTTGGAGATGGGACTCTTTGAATGCAGTGCCTGTGAACTCAGTGTACCCTGCCTTAATATGCTTCTTGGGATTGCATATTCCAATTTTGTAAATTAAAGCAATTTTTTTTTTAAAGATTGAATTTAGAATTCAATTTCATTGATTTTAGAGGATACAATTTAGACAGAATAGTTTATTAAACTGAGGAATTGGGACCCAGCTTAGATAGTTGCAATCTCTGGCCATTTTAGATC